AACGCCTCGCGCGCACGCGCGCGCTGGAATGTCTCCGTGTGTGCCAGGTCAGCTGCTGTCTGCCCTTCCAGGTTTTGGATGGCCAGATCTGCGCCCGCAGCGACGAGCATGTCCACCACCTCGCAAAAGCCGTTTGCGCCAGTCGCCGGTCTAGGCGAGACGGGTGGATTCATGCTAATCACTTGGATCGAAGCCCATGCGGCTTGGATTGCATTGAGGTGACCAGCACGCCGTCGTGTCATTTGGAAGCACTCCCGCACCGAAGATAGCTGCTGGATTCATCCGCTTAATAAGCTTTAGCTTAGGGGCGCGCTTTCATGTTGGGAAAATGGTGTGCTTTTGTTTGCTTTGTGCTGTTTTTTTGAAAATTGATAAAAACTGCATGGCTTCGGAAGTCAGCATTTGCGATGCCGGTTATGCAGCCCGGGGACTCTGCATTACTGACATCGTGGGTGTGAAAGAGACAGACAGACTGACAGACTGACAGACCGAGACAGATTATTGAATATTATTGACATCTTGCGTGTGTTTTGTGTGTCCTGCCCGACCGAAACAGACATACCGAGACAGACCGGCTCCGACAGCACAAGTTGCTGCTTCCCACACCAGTAACCCATATCCTCGTGGAGTGCCACTGACACATTATGGTTTTAATCTGTGCGGGCGGCTTCTACCGCGAAGCCGTGTAATAATATTGTTTGTTTGGCAGAAACCATGTCTTTTCACAACACCCTTGAGCAAGTTGATTCAATCTAGCAACGAGACAAGACTTCAGCTTGCACAAGCTTGTGAAATTGTGCATGCGAAAGAAAACTGATACTGCACATTCTCCGTCCAGCAACCGAACACATGCAACACGGACAAGAATCTGTTGATAATACAGACCTTCTTGTGCCCTTCGCGAGCTGCGATCATCAACGCTGTGTTGCCTTGCTCATCCACCACCTGTCAAACTCTTGAGTTCGTGAATTCGCCAAATGGAAACAAAGGGCAGGGCCCCCAAACAATCAGGACCCCTTTGAAGGGGTCTTATTATCGGGGCCCCCTCTTCTTCTGTCTTTTTTTCTTCTCTTTCGCCGGTGGAACAGCGCTCTAAGATGCGGACATCCAACTGAGGTTGTGTGCAAGACGTCTCCAGCGCTCGGCTGACGACGTCGTCTTGCCCTCACGACCAGAAAACTGCAAATTTATGCAGGAAGCAATTTCGCACGACCGCTCTACCAGGAGTCCGTTTGATCTTGATGCTTCCGACAAGAAGCTTTTGAGATCAATAGCAGTCCTCTACGACTTACGTCCATCTTGGCGTGGTTGGAAATCTCTGAAATCTCTCTCTCTCTCTCTTTCATTCTCTCCAAAGCTAGAATAGGCCCTCCGACCATGGCGAGCCGCGATCATGAGGGCGGTGCGTTGCCAGGTTGCACCTGGGCGGACTTTGGCTGAAGACAGCATTCGCGAGACGACGCACGTGACAAAGTTTACGACGACATCAACTGGCTCTTCAGGCTGATGGTTACACCAACACATAATTCCACCGAAGAATGCTGAGGCTTTCACACCCGGCCAGAGCTGCATCTCCCTGCGTCGCCATTGCAGTGAGACTGCCGATCAAGACGTTGCACGACGTGCTCCGATTGTCTTTTTTCTGGACATCTGCAAGGAGCGATGAAGACGCTGGACAACAGTTGATCCCGAATGATTGTGCACGTGCACGACGTGCTGCTTATGTACTCGAGCCAAAGGAGACGCATGGGACAAGTGGCCAACATAGAAACGAAGGAGTTGATAGCTATCAAAGACTTCTCAATCGCAACATATAATATAGCAACTATCCCATCCCTCCTTCTCAGCCTTAAAAAAGCAAACTAACTTCTCAAACTCCAATCAAGGTGTATACAAATATCTATTGAAATTATCAATTCTGGTTTCAGAAGAACATGAAACAGGTTGGAAAGTCCGACTTTCAAAGCAAACTCAAGCAGGACAAGTTGATCCCTTTGGTGCCCTCCAGACTGGTCTGACTGGTCCAAATGGGTCGACCCAGACCACACGGGACTGGCCGAAACGTTGGTGTTCGGTCGAACACGAGGTCTTCTCTGGGAGAAGGACCTCCTAAGTGAGAGCGGAGCAAAAAATGGGAGCAGATCCGCTCAATTGTACAATCTGACTACCCGGCGGATTGGATCTCTGCCTCAGCTGGTGACAAACATTAAACACAAATCATATGCGGGGCGGGAGCAAAGAAGAACACTGCTTTTGGATGCTTTTGGAAAGTCTATGCAAGATTGGCTAAGAACATCTACTAAAGGGCCTCGACGAGTTGGCTTTCTTTCACCAGTCAACTCTAACGGTCCCTGTGCATCCCTGTCGATCCCTGTGGATCCCTGTGGATACCTGTGGACCTGCCCTTCACCCCAAACGATACGCTGAAATAAAGGACCCAAACGAATTCGCTTCCACCTTCGATATGCCAGCCTGTCTCTAGGATTGTTGGTGCCGGATCACGGGCTTGTTCCGTAGACGCAGTGAATTTTGCATGCATGAGATGAGCTTCCCAAACCCTTCGTCTGAACACTGGAAGTTCCGGAAGTAGCCTAGTTGCTTGCTAAGGTTCTCCTCCCTTGGGGCCTTTCTGTTCCAAGAACCCGGCTTCCAAACACCTGCGAACCGCCTCCCCCACAGCTCAGGGAGAACCGCCCACACCGAACCGTGCGGGAGGGCCGAGTCTTCTCGGCGCCCCCAGCAGACAGGGCAGCAGTTCGATCTGCCGCGGATCTCGGAAAGACATGCTGCGCAGATTCGATGCCTTGGTGCATCCGTTCAAGAAGAGTCCCAGCTTCTTGGTCTGTTTTTCCTGTTGGTGAAAAAATGAAGCTCAACTTGGTCCAACAATCTGACAGATTCTGACAGATTCTGTTGTTCTTCGGTCTCGTACTGCTGGAGTAAACGACTAAAAAAAAGTCGACAAGTGTTTTCAGACTTGGGAGATTGCCAACAGCTGCTCCGTTCAATTCGGATCGCCGACAAGCAGCCCACAATCCAATGCCGCATTGGGCCAGTTCAGAATGCAGACTGGACCTTGGTGCAATGATCCGCCGTTTGAGTGACACCAGAACCTTCTGTTGCGCATTCAATCAGTCAGTTTGAATACTACAGTCTTCCTATGCATAGATGATTGTATGTTTGAAAGGGGCTTTTAACTGGACGCCAACCCCAGGCAAATCCACAAGGGCAGAAAAAAGCCAAGTGTACGCCAGCAGTTCTACTGCTAAGACTGCTGGCCATGTCGGCTTTGGGATCTACCGGTCTCTCAAATCCTCCCAGCGGCACGTGGGGCCACCATTGGCAGGCTCTGCTGTCGAGGCCGGAATGTCCCAGGCCGTCGGCCTCGTGGGTCGACGTGGAGCGACCCACCGACCCAGCGAACGACGGAATCGCTGCCCGGTCGGTCGGTCTTCCAAGCGGCAGAGGCAAGATCTCTAAGAAAGCCTGCACAGTTCCGTGTGGAGACTTGTTGGACAGCAAACAGCAACTTAAAGCACACCAGCAGTACGGAGTACGTATGGAAGCGTCTCCGACTCCACGGAAGAAGAAATCAGCACAGGTCCTCTTCATGACCAGTCTGATGCATGCAGCGCAGTCTCTTCGAGAAAGTGAATGACAAATGTGACAAATGATGCAGCTGTTGAGGCCATGGGGCCAGGCCTGCATGAGGCCATGGGGCATTCCACGTACAACTTCGCGAACCTGCAAATTTGGATCAGTGAGACTACGCATGCGCCAAGATTGACACTTCTGGTAGAAGCATGCAGCCTTCTACCAAGTCCGTACAATCATGTCCCGGCTTCGCTTGAGTGCTGCTGTGGCATCATGCCCGCCTCTTGGCTTTCGCGCAGCGGCAATGCTGGATAGCCCAAGCATTCTCGACATTCCGACCTACAGGAAGGTTGCGCACCACATCACACCACTACATAATCGGACGGCAGCTGACACTAGCAGATGACACTTTTGTGCACTTCTTCAACTCGAATCTCAGAGATTCAGTGTTAAAATCGCTTCAGCACAGCTTTGTGATTGAGTGCTTTAGTGCTTCGCTTGCCCGCCAGGCTCTTCCGCCTGAGCTGATACACAAACTCGTCGCAGGAGCCGAAGATCAGCCGGACGGCAGCGTAGATGAGGACAGACACCTCGAAGCGTCTCGTCGAAGGCGTCTCGCATCGAAGCATCTCGCATCGAAGCTGTGTTTTCTTTTTGGGACGGACGAAAGCGGTGTCTCAACTGGACCTAGCATCTGAGATATCAAAATGCTAGGTCAGGTCCATTTTCAAGGTTGGGTCGCCTACGGAAGAAAGTCAGTGCTGTTCGTGGCCGAACAAAATGCAAAATGTCCGTGTCAAAGGCCTGCTTTTTTGGAAACAGTGCTCCTCTTAGCTAGCGGCTAGCGTCAGACGGACTTCATTGCAAGAGAAGCAGAACTCTTCCATATCCCGTGAAGTGCATTCAAGACACTGCGATAGCGAATGGGAAAAGCTTTAGGCCTTCTTCACCAAAAGCAGCAATGACATTGCCCATTGCACAGCAAGCAAAAAGTTGAAAGAAACGAATGCAACCTTTCATTTTGTAAGTTAAAAGAGGACCCATGGATGATACTATCTCTAAAGGGATCAGCAGCGTCTGGAGTCTATGGACACCGAGAAGAAATGCATACATCATACATCACTGAAAGTGCCAAATTGAGGCGAACCTGGCTCTGGCTCGTATAAGTTCTGCGTGATCGCATGCTTTGCAAAGTATCTACTTGGTCCAAGCGCAGCGAATCTATGCGGATTGGAGATTGATTGAATCCTGCTTCCAACTGATCAGGATGAGACGCCGCAGGCTGGCCCTTTCACCAAATCCGATGTCTCATATGGTATATGTTGTTTGGTGCATGTTCAGCATCCAAACATAAAGCAAAAGCGCGTGACTCTTTCTGACTGATTGGATGGGTCGTGTCTGAATGTTTGGACGGTGTCAAAGAGTCAAGCCACTATGTAAAATGAAATGTATGTGGCAGCAGATCTGTACAACAACTCTGCCTAGCTCTGTGCATTCCTGCAGTGGGCACGAGCCCATCAAAATCATGAATTTGTCAGAATGTGTCTATTGGCCGTGTAGGCAGAACGCACTACCACCTCGGGCCAAAAAGAAAAGAAGATCCAATCCAGACTCCAAAAACAATGATTGACTGGAAGAGTTTCTCTTAAACTCCAACTCAAGGTCCCGCTGCCCACGCGGGGTCCCCGGAGCGGGTCCCCTCGTCCTCCGCACCCCCTCCTCCGGACCTGAAGAAGTCATCATGTCCACCAAAGAGGGCACCACCCCAAGGGCCAGCAGCGCCTTGGCCTTGAAGGTGTTCGTTTGTTTGGGCATCAAATCGGTTTGAATGTGGGGCCGTTGGGCATCAACGGAGGCATCTTCTGTTCCTGGGAAATGCGACAGATGGTTATTCCCTGTCATGCTTGATGGTAGGCTTAAAGCAGAAGGTGGCAATCCTTTTTCTGGGCAAAAGCTAGTGTAGCAACCACTATTCAGGTGGCTCTCAAAAGTGCTGCTTGCGAAAGATCCCTCTGTTTGCCATCACCAGCATCACGCGCAACCGACAGATGGAGGATTAGAATTGATTGATCGATAGAAGGGGGACCCTTTGTTGACGAACAAAACAACTAGACCCCGACGACGCAACCCTTGCTTTGCAAGACGTATTCAAGGTAGCCCCCTCTTCAGGCTGCCTTTCGGTGGTGACCCACATCCTTGTACCATCTAATTCACAAATTCAGAGATACCCCAGCTGAGGCTCCAACCAAGCCCAGGATGCATCTCCCTCCGAAGAGGGCCACGTCCCAGGTTTCGACCACGCGCCAGCCTCGGCGTTCCCGAGTGTTGAAGGATCTGTTCCTCTACCCACTGGGCAGAAGGAGATACCTTATAGATCGGCGTTAAAAGGATACCCTATAAACAGTTTATGTAGAGCTTGGCCCCTCCCATTTCATAGTGGAATTTTTAACAATGATCCTTGTAGTGTCATTCAATTGAATTCCGATCGCTGATCGCAGTGGAGGCACTGGTCTGGCAGCTGTCTTTGGATCTTGGGCAACACGATTTGCAAGACTCCGTCTCGGTACCTGCCGGGAGGCAAGTTCTTGTTACCAGTAGTAGCTTCTTGCTCGTGTGGAACGCGGAACTCTTTCGAGCCGGGAGCCGCTACAATATGAGGGTTTCGTCGGGTGATTTGAAAGCTGCGGGCAGAATGGGATTTGCTGACGGATTTGGAATAGAATTTGTTGGACATCCCCACCATAGACGCCTAAGACTGCAAAACTCAGCAGCTGTGTTCACTGTGTTCCACCTGTGCTTTCACTGGGACCCCACGATGCATCAATGTTCTCAACATCCACCTGCAAAGCGACTACAGCACAAATACGTTCCGCGGCCAAAAGGCGCTTGCAAAGGCAGCCGTTACGTTGGTGCAAACACTTCCAGGTGCTTTTTAGAAAGGAATAGCTCAAAGTCTTTTCACTAAATAACGAAAAAGACATGACAAAACAAGCAAAAAAGGATCAAACATCTGGGACATCGCACATCTCTAGGCAAACGGAAGGTCTCCGCAAAACGACCAAACTCGCCCTGGCACAGCTCCAAACGAGTTCTGATCCAACGAGACATCTCAAATCAAACGTCCAAAAGCGCACGATGCTCAGCATCAACAGCATGTCAGCATGCCAACTCAATGATGTGACAACTGGCACGATGAAATGCTAAAAGCCGTTGAGCGTTCAAAACATTACTTAAGTCTCAAACCTGACCCAGCTCGATGTAGGCGTCTTCAGAAACCTGGGCACCGACGCAGCCATCTGAACAACCAGGTGACATGCATACTGTTGCATACTCCTACCTGGAGCAAAACCTGACAAGACTCAAAACTACCTGTTCCAGGGAAGGCAAACAGCAAAAACATCAGCTGCATTCCTCCTATCTATCATACTTCCAGCCTGCTTGACTACTTGAAGACATGACAATGCTAATGCAAATATATATGAATAATTCAAGACAGCTGCACAATCGCCTGCGGAATTGCCTTGACGAGCATGGCAAACTTCTCTGGCGACGTTTTGGCCTTGAAGGTGGGTGGCCGGTAGCGACGTTTGCACCGCAAATACTGCGGAGACCCCTCTACCAGAGTTTAACCAGACCTCCGCAGCTTCTTTCGCAGACTCAGAAGCAGGCGATTTGCCGAATCTTCTGAGCAATCCTGCCAAGCAGAAAAGAGAGAGAGAGAGAGCAGGGGGGGAGGGAGGCTTGTTAGGCATGGAATCGCATCCAGGCTAAAATAGACTGCCTATTCCGACGCCTACTCACTGTCCTTTTGGTCTGCCATGTTGCCACTCATTCCTTGCACTGGCGGTGCCCGCCTGCGCCGCATCAGCGTCGCCTCCTCGCTGGACCTGGGATCCCAAACGGGCTTCCGCTGAGTGGGTCCAGGTGCTCTCAGGTCGTGCTTTGGACGTTTCGGAAGACGGTCAAAACTCTCGGGATCAGTTGCATGTGGGCAGGATCAGACTCTCTCGGGTTTCTTGAGATTCCCCACTCGTTGATACAGTAATTGGTCTCTCTCGTGCACTACCCTCGCATGTTCTTTTTCTTGAGAAGAGCTTGGAAACTCCGCAAGAAAACTCATTGTCATGTAATATATAATAGGACAACCTCTGAGCATACTTGCCTTAAGCCTTAAGATTCAAGACGTATAGTAGTCCCTAGTTCTGCTTTGGTATCTGTTTTAGACTCACAACCGAGACCGGCAAGGACTCCAAGACCGACCCTTCAACTGGGTCTCACGCGGAGTACGAAGACCCTCAACTCGAAGGGTGGAAGACTCCCCCAGCTCCAACTGGCGACGACCGACCGGACGGCGCCCCCGTGGGTTCGGTTCAGGTCGGAGCAGGCCAATCAGGTCGGAGCTGTGTTGGGGTGCCCAAAAAAGAAAGCTTTGAAGGAGCTGCGGGCTGCGGTATCCGCGGCTTGGGACAGTTGTAAAATAATGCACTAGTTGCCCAAGACTTACTATATATAGAGAGAGAGAGAAACTATGAGAAACTCTGGGCACAAAGGAAGACTGCGAATGGTTCTTAAATGCCTGACTGGAGAAGATGCAAAGTATGCTGGGCAGTGAAACAATCAAGCACTGATCACTGGTCTTTCATGTTTGGCACCAAAATCCATGTGGAGAAGTTTCTCATTCAACACACGTTGAAGGAAAGTCCGTGCCTTGAGATCATCCAGGTCAAGTCCTTAGATTTGTCCGCACCATGAACAAGTTGTGTGATCAGAATGACATTTGGAAAAGGTCGTCAAGCTTCATCAAATCAAAAAAGATGCAAACATCAAAGAAAAAGACTTGATCAGCCGCTTTCCAGAGTTTTGAGGGCATGATTGTCTGATCCGTTTGCTGTCAGAAAGGGTTCAACCAACATTTCCGCTGTGATTGTACGAGTCTGTCAATCCAGCCCGTTGCCGACTGCTCAAGCAATCAACTGTCCCAGCCCTTTGCCAAGCAAGCCTGGTACGGTTGCAGAGATCACATAGTTGTTTTGCTCCTGTGAAGCACTGGTGAGAGAAAAAACAACTCTGCAACAATCGCCGATCGCTTGAAAAGGCCAGTCGAGCCAGCAAAAGATCAGGCACGATCCAACAAAGGTCGAGGATTGTGTCGTCAAAAAAAGAGGTAAACCGTAAACGTCGTAAGCCAAGTAAAACCACAAAGCACATCCCGGTTGCACCGCAAACCACGAAACACACCACGGCGTAAACCGTAAACCGTACCGTAAACCCCATGGTCTCAGGTGGCACCACTTCCCGGTTTGCTGGTTCGCTGTCTGGATCCTCCCGGGAGTTGAAACGAAGTGGCAGCCGAACCTGGCGCCAAGAGTGTCACAGCGGCCACCCGTCTCTTATATAACCCCGAGAAGAACACCAACAGCTAGGCAGGAACCTTCCTATTCGCAAGTTCACCCAGTCTTTTTGCCAAGAATGCAATGCGAGCATCATAACAACATTCAGCATGTTATCCTGGCCTGTGTCAGCATGCCAGCACGACAACATGTCAGCATGACAACCTGACAACGTATTAACGAAACACCATGCCGCATGCCAGCATACCAGCGTGACAACATGTAAGCTCGTCAGCACGTAGTTCGGCATGATGCCATCTCAGCATTACGCCATGACGATGTAAGCGTAACGGCATGTCAGCATATCTGCAAAAGTGTTGCGGAGCAGAAACTGATCCAGCAACTGCTCCAGAACTCTACTGCGACCGAACCTGCTCCTCCGGAACCTCCCCCGGAACCTGCTCCGGGACCTGCTTTGATCTGCTCAGGTTGTCTTTACTCTGGCTGAAGACCCCTAAGCTTCGCTGTTGGAAAAGAAAACGGGGTGGATCAACTCAACGGCACGAATCGCAGCAGCTTCGCTGTTGGGATTTGGGGAAGCTGTTAAGAAAGGCAGCTGGACCTTCTCCCAGACAGACTTGCCTGGTGGAGGTGGTTCCAAGACGGACGCCGCTGCTTTTTGGCCCTCCTTGGCCCGCCGGCGGGCCGAAGGGAGGGGAGCCTCGGAAACGCGTCGGACGTGTTCTACACAACGAAGAGTCCCAGAGTCGAACGGAAACGCGAAGCATCCAAAGCATCTTGAAGCCTCCAAAACTCCTTTCTTCATGTTCATGGCTTTTGGGACAATTACATGCGCCCAGGCGTCGTGCTTTTTCTTCCCACAATGTTTGCTTCAAGCGTTGTGCATGCTTGCATACTAAGAAAACAGACAGCACCCAGAGCCTTATTGTTTCAGATCCAAGATCTTCATAAACAACATCTATATGCATACAATACGTTTGTGAGGACTGTGGCACAAGAACTCCAAGCAGGCACGCCTCTTCAGCTGCATCAGGCGCTTCCTCATTTGCTGCCGCTTCTTTGGCCGCAGCCTCTTTTGCCGCGGCCTCTTTGGCCGCGGCCTCTTTGGCTGCAGCCTCTTTCGCCGCAGCAGCACGCGCTGCCTCTGCAGCAGCCTTCAATCGCTTCACATCCTGCATGCAACGTTCTTGTTTAGCTCGTTTTTTTGCTCCACCAAAACGATCCCATTTAAAGCACGGCCGAAACTTGACCTGAAAACCAAGTTGCTGCCCACAAGAAGACCGGTCTGGAAGTGCGTCGACTTGGCACTTTTACTACCACCGAGATCTGCACGAATCATAAAGCTGGCCCATCCTTCACAAGGAAACCTTCTACTGCGGCACTCGAGTTAATGCTGTCCTATCTCTGGTTGGCATGACGGAAAAAGTACCATAAGAGATTCATCCTATGTTTTCGATTACTCAGATCTTACAATGATGTTGAGCTTTCACCTGAACTGGAAACTGACTCCATGCCAACACCCAGAGCCTCAGATAACTCTAGATAACAAAAGGCCAACAGCCAAACTTCTAAAACCAGGGAACATAATTCGCAATGACAAGAGATTTGTTATGTTGGCTGCCAAACAAACATCATCGGCCCGCTGGCTGAGGCACCTCTGCAGCGCGCCTCTTTGCTGCTGCCGCTTCCGCTTTTTGCAGCTTCCCCTAAGGGCTGAGTTCTGTGCAGCTTCCAAAAAGCAAGGTCTGGCGCCGTTCCAGCCAGGATGGGGACACTCCGTTTTGAAGCAGGCCTTCTCTCTGAATGTGACCCACATGTATTGGCCTCGAGTTGTCGATGCAGCATTGCCAAGCGGGACTTGGCAGTGTCAACGTCCTCAAGAGCTGAGATCATCAACGTCCAGTGTCGATCAGTGCATCGCATCAACGTCCTAAAAAGGCCTTACACCCTGGAAGACGATCCCATGGACCCTGAAAACGGTTGGTAGAGGAAAACACTCTTCCAAGCCATTGTCAGGGTGTATGTTAGTTTTCGGGAGTGTACCTATTTCTGAGTCCTGCAGTAGACCTTCGAGTCCAGAGAGTGTGGCCTCAAAAAGCTGAGTGCAAGGCAGGAAGTGCTCACGTGACTCCCCGTCCAGCACATCATGTAAACTTTGAGCAGTGAGGTTCCAATGCTTTTTAATGCTACTTTCCACGATAGGTGTGGGACACGTGGAACCTTTTCCGAAGTGAAATTGAGCCATTGCAGCACAGTGCACTGTGCACACAAAAAAGCTTCATGAGATTCTCCGTAACACGCCGTAACAAGCCGCACTCCTCGACCCACGGTGGTCCACGCAACGGCCCCCACCACAGTCCGCACATGTACGGTGTGCTTTGATCAACCCTGCCTTTCGGGTACCTCGATCCTCGTCACATAAGCCAGAGATATTGTCCAAAGCCATCATGTCCTGGATTCGGATCTTTGGATCTTTCATTGTTCTTACGCGGCAAGTGGCCGAAGGCGACCGAAGTTAAGTCAATATCACAACGATCACGATCACTGGGGACATTGCAAAAGGATATGTTTTGAAGTCATTCCAAAGGCTGATCTACAATGCACTGAAACCAGCAACAGCTTGGTACTCACACAGTTCGGAGACCTCCTTCCCTCATGGATGTTCTTTCGGGCTGCAGCTTGGAGTTTGTAGCCATTCCTAGTGCTTATACAACACTACAAAACGAACCATGAAACGAAATACCCACAAGCTCCGGGTGTGGGACTACCTTGCTTTCGGGTCCGCTCCATCCACACGATCGCATGCGTCCTCCAACAAATCCTCGCCGAAGTTCCGGGCTTTCTTTCTAGCCTCTCGCCATTGTGATGAGACTAGACCCATTCAGCCTGGACCCAGCCATTCTGCCACACCGGCGATTGGAAACACCACCTTCTAAACCCAGCCGGATGAAAGAATCGACTGCACCTCCTCAACAGCTGCTAGTTCAGCACGAAGCTTTTCGGATTCGTCGACCTCCACTTCCTTCGGCCAACGTTCGCCGATGTGCGAAGTTCGCCGAACCGATGGGTTTATCAACAAAATGAATCATGTGGCTCAGGCATTCGCCCGCTTGGACAATGCAGAGGTGGTCCGGCTTAAGTCATAGACCTCTTTGAGCCTGCCAAGTTTGGGAGAAAAAAAAGGAACCGACGCACAGGCTGAACAAAGCATGGTCCAAACCCAATGTTCTTTGTTTCTGAAACTGCTTAGAAGGGCCCACATGGCTGGGGCATTTGCATGTCAATTCCTTCTGCCCTGCTTACACTCACGGCACGCTGCTAAACAGCAGCTTTGCAAAGACTCTTGCAAAAGCAGCAAAAAGACTAGGCTTTCGGCATGTTTTCTTGATGCTCTTTCACCTTCTGAACCTCCATGACTCTCTGTAAAGAAGGCCCAAAGAAAGAAATAAAGAAACAAACAAACATCATACGCAAGTCAGTAGGATCTATTTAGTTGGTGCTATATTCAACTCCAACGGGTCTGCTTGGGTCTCTAGCTTGGGTCTCTAGAGCTTTGAGACATATCATTTCTGCAACAGTCAACCTCCCTCGCCCTTCTCAAACAGGGGATGAGACTTGCTGAGGCAGACCCTTTTCCCTCGCTCTGCTTGGCTCTAGTCAACTCCACCTACCGCCCGCAGCCATCAACTCTGTTGAAGGCACCCGAGCTTAAACCTAAACAAGAAACTAAATGCTTCGAATTCATTCGACCGGTCTTGGATTCCAATTCATTCCTCTCCGGTCTTGAAGACTCCAAATCGCCGAGTCTTTGAAGGGAAAAAGCTTCAAACGTAGAGACGGATGGTCGTGCGCGTCGATCGAAGGTCCATTCCCGGCTGGCAGGTCAAAAGGTCAGGCCGAAGAGGCGGATGACTCCGAATCGCTGCATTCCGAGATCTGCCGACGAGGTCGTCGCCAACTGAACGAGGTCGTAGCAAGGGCAAGCAACACCAGGCATAGCCCTGCTACACCAAGCCAGTTCTGCAGCGAAATGGACTTTCTTTGATTGCTTTGCCAGCTCCCTGCAAGATCCTCCACAGCGTCTGCGAGCCTGTTGGACCATGCGCTTCCTTACAGGATTGAATTGACTTGAACCACCAAGCAGCACAAGCTATAATTACCTACTGCACCTCCCATAGACTAACTACCCCCTTTTCTACCTCCACAACTTGAGGATTCGAACCTTCCAAGGTCCAAGTGTCTAAGGTTCGGCTGCGATCCAAATCCTTTGGCGGCGTCCAAGTGGAGCCGCTTGAGTTCGGTCTCATTCCATTCGCCGGGCATCCCCTGAACATCGGCATACCATTCGGGCAAGAATAAGTCGGTTGGGAAGAAGTAGTACTCCGAGGGTAACGCATCGGGCCCCAACGCATTCTGATAAATCTCACTCTGAGGATATTTGGGCAACTTCTCCCAATAGTAAGGGTATTGAGGTACTCGCTCTCGAAAAACATGGATTTCAGCCTTCATCTTTTCCAACCCAGCCCAGGCTGCTGCGAGGTAGCCCAAGGCGGCGGCCGAAAAAATTGGATTGTACAACAAGCCCATGGCCGAAGACATGACATTCCCACCGGGGTACGCTGTGGCCGACAAACTGCGTTTTGCATCATCAGCAGAGCCTCCCAAACCGCCAAAGGTCATAAATCGCACACTCGGGGGCGAGCTCATTTGTGAGCTTGAGCGAGCGTCATGCTCGAGCTGGTGTTCGATCTTCTTTGACAACATGTAAGCTGTCCGGGAAGCCGTATCGCACGATGAGCCACAAAGTCCATCCGACACAAACAAAATTTCCGAGAAGGGGTGATGGACCTTGGCCAGGGCATCCACAAATTCCTGCGTATAAACTGAGACGCAATCTTCAACCCGAAACTTGGCTGTGAGTTCCACATCCTCCTTTCCACCTCGGCGCCTTTTCCGCATGGCTCCGAAGGGATCGAAGGGCTGCCCAGTGTCTGAAAAGGCCATCCTTGGCGTCGCAAGACTAACGAAATGAAACTGTTTCAAGACTAACGTCTGCCCGGGGCATAAGTGAATATGTACAGGCCCTGACGTAACCAGATCCATAAGCCGTGATTAACACCACCAAGCCTACCGCTGGCGTAACGCGACAGGTCACATTTACACAGGCATGCTTCTTGATCCAGTGACTGTGCTGCTCTCGTACAGTTACTGTGCAAGCTGCTTGTGTTACTGTTACTTACGTTACTTTAACGGTGCTGCTCTTACTCACATTACTGTTGCTGTACAACTGTACATTCTAAGTATTCTTGAGGCAGAAGCTTCTACACTAAACGACTTCCTCTCATCAATATGACCAAATACCGGCGATAGGATGGCAAAAAGGACGTGTGTCCTACCAGGTGTTTCGTGCCAAAAAGCTTGGGTCACAGTCACATATTTGCAAAAAGAATGGTTTCAATCTCAGTTGTGCATCAAGAACAATGTAAAGGGATTTCCGAAGCTGGCCGCAGAATCGCTCAACACCTGCACAGTCTCTTGCAGGGTATAAGCATCCATCTCTCCCATGTCCAGGGTATCAATGGCTGACTGAATCATCATGTAGTCATCATAGCTTAAAACATCCATTGCAATGCATGCCTTCGTCACAGCATGCAGTATTTGGGTGAGGTGCTCCTTCTTCTCTTCCGACAACTCCTCGACTCTCTTCTCGGCTGGAGCAACGGTTTTCAAAAAGTTCACCAATGGCGTGACATTCACGTGCTTCCATGCATGGAAGAGTGAGCCGACGGGTCGGTCGTATTCGTTGCAAACCTCTGCGAACTGAAGAAGCGGGTGCAACGCGCGCACGAACAAATAGGCAAAATCCACGAAGCCACCGGGATTTCCAGAGAGATCCACGAGCAAGCGCGAAACCGAATGATCTTTGGACGTCTGCACGAGTTCTCTCCAAAAGGCCGTAAATTGCGACTGCACCTGAAAGCCGGCAGATTCATCCTCTGTCAAATAAAAGCGCGTGAGCTTCACCACCGCAAAGAGCTCACCGGACTCATCCCTTTGCAGCTGGTAGTATCCATATGTGGCACCAAGGGGGCTCAAGGCAGGATCCAAAAGCCAGCGACGCGGAAAGCTCGCCTCATCCAGCGCAGGCCTGACAGAATGCAAGACTCCAAATCAAAATGAGTTGAAGGACTCAACAAAGCGATTCTGGCCTAGATTCCAACATTGCTCGATAGTGGGCCTGTCAACATATCCCAACTCTGCACATGCTAAAAACACAGTGTGCATTGACTTAAGCAGCCTAAAATTAGAGTTGCAAGAGTGGCAAGTCTCCTCTTTGGTCACTTTCTTCTCGATGCTGGCTTGGGTAGAACAATGTTCGGATCTGATGTATCTTGCATGTCATGGGAGCGTATTTCTTATGTCTCGAAGCAAGGAAATATATCATCAGAACGACCACCACTGCCGGTATGTCTGAGCAAGATCAAATGCCCATCTGCCTGCGTTCCGGGAATCCGCTCTTCAGGAATCTTCAAGAACGACCGGAGCCCTGTGTCCTCCACAGACGGCAATCAAAGGAATGAAAGCAAGAAGAAAATACTTGAAGGTAAACTCAAAAGTCCACAGTTTATTTGAAGATAAATAGTTGAATGCGGATTTGTGAATCTTACCAGATTCCTCTTTCAGCAATTTCATCATTTCATCGTCTGGCAGCTCTGGCGCCGCCTGGGCGACAGTACCGTCAAACGGGCGCACCGTTTTTCGAGTTCCACACGAAACAGCAAAGAAATCACGATCACAGTACGTTCATTTGGTGCTTCACTTACGTGTTGAATCGTGTTGAGAAATGTTGAGAAGGCATTAGATAGCGTCCTTCTGTATCTGAATCCCATGGATGTGCATGGTCGAATTGATAGTGTGACAGAACGTCTATTCCACAATCCAATACCCATCAAAAAAAGAGCGATAAGGCATCAAATGCCCCAAACTGCCAATTTGCAGCAAGTCACATTCACAAGCTCATCATGTTGATGCGCTTTCTGCCTGAGGTAGGACCATTCTTAAGCTCATATTCTGCTCGTGTGCACTCTCCTTCTTGTTTTGCCTTTCTGACCTTCTGCCAAGTGGTGTCTGGCACAAGATCTCTTGACTAGGCTCCAAACAGCTGGCCCAAAGCCTAGGTGGCTCGGTGTCTTTTTCGAGTGACAGGACAGGACGTTTGCTTTTGGAACTGGCCAAGAAGAGTTGAAGAGACCCAGTTGCCTCGACCGCGTTTTGATGCAAAGTGCCAGCAGCTTTTAGAGGTCCCTGAGGCTCCCAACGGGGTGGCAATGTGAAGTGCTGTACTTCGGAGTAAAAGACTTTCCAAAATGAAGTACGTGCTTCAATTAGCCTTTGCCCTTTGCCACCGATCATACTGTGCCAGTCTTATCCGAAATCCAAGCAGAAGCGCAGCAATTTTTAAGTAGGTAAAGTATCGAAATTCTTGATTTCTTCACCTGTTGTGAAGGAAACAAGCTAGATGTCTGTTTAGATGCCTTACTAAACTTACATAAAGAAACGCTCGATCGCTGTGGACCTTCAGCAAATCTAGGACGCAGTTCACGTCGTACTTCTTGCACCTTAGGCAAGGCGAACCAACTTAGCCAGCAAAGGAGCCAACGGCGGACAGTTGCCCCGGCAGTCCAAGCCTTACCCTTACTCTCAACAGCTCTATGAGCGATGGAAGGAAAACAAGGGCCGGAAGCAGTGGCACAATGACTCACTGTTCCATAGATATAGGTCTCTACTGCCCTTTGATCATCCGCTATCTTTCCAGAGATTCAGAAACGAAGCAAAAAGAGTCTCCACCATATGGCCAATGAGTGTAGTGCAAGGATGCGAAAGTGTTTGGTACGAACATGGAAAAACCAAGACCCATGGGAGTCTTTTCCTGTTTTTGCTTCAAGTGAAGCGTCCTCCAAGGCCGGTCATGGTCAGGCTTTGCAGCATCATATATATATATATATATATAATGATCAAAACAAAACGATTTATTAAATTATATTGGTATGGCATAGAATTATGTATGTGTTATTGTTCAATCACACAAACAGACAGATCAATCGCAGAGATGCTTGCCAGACATCCCAACAAAAAACAGCATGGATGTAGGGCCCCTGGAGACCCCAGAGTGGTACTCTGCCAGAGTGGTGCAACGAAAAGAACCAAAAATGAAACTTCTGCAGATATCTTAGATCGCTGTTAGGTTGGAGGCCATCGCTAGTCGTTCAAGTCCAAGAAATGAGATGCTCGAGAGTCCAGCCTCCATTGGCTACGGCTAAGTCCTCTGGCGCGTTGAGACTGCGGGTCAGCAGTAGCCAGGTCCAGCTCCAAGTGGTCGTCTGAAGAGCACAGAGCACATGGCCACC